AATACAATAGAAAAACCTCCCATAAAGTTCTCTAATTCGAAAATTCATAATTTATCACGTTAAAGAGAGGCCACAATCAACATACTTTTTGGGTAAATCAAGAGGCAATTGCAAGATATTCATCAATTGGAGATCAAAGCTTTGTTTTTGGACAATGAAGGGAAGGCGCAATTGAAATTCATCCAGAAATTATTGAAGAGATTCAAGATTTTTTTTTAAAGATTTATCCTCTTCTTCTTCAATTAATCAATAGGATAGATAGCACTTATAACAATTAGTCAATAGTGTTTTTAGTGCATGTTTTCATGTTCGCATCTTTCACAGAAATATAGGAATGTTACATGAGAGGATATATTTAATTGATATCAAGAAATATGTTTAATTGACTTAGGAACATTGATTTACTTAGTGTAAATTCTTCAACAAAATTTGCTATTCAATTAAAGTTAACATTAATTGATACTAGCTTAAGTACATAGTCTTTGTGGTAACGAAACTTTATACATAACTTATTACTTATTCGCGATATCATTCATTTGTGGAAAACCAAACGATCATAGTCTCCAACCTTTTATGGTTGGTACAATAAAAAAATGAAAGAACAAACATAAATGAGAACCAACAATAAAATTTGTCCAAAATAATGCACATAAAAAAATTGAAAAAATAAAAAATCCAATTCATCTTTTCCCTGCTTCACCACAATCGTCATTGCCATTGCCACCACTACTAGTATTTTCTATAGTAATAATGCTAATTCATTGAAATATTGGGATGTATTGTCGTAATAAAACTGGTTAGGGTAGATTTACTAATCTTAAAGGTTCTGGACGAAATGTGCAAGAAATCTTATTTAGTCCTTGTTTATTCCCCATTATCTTAAAGTTGAATTTTACTTAAACTCATTTTCAACTGCATATTTTCACAATAAAATATTTTATAGTTAAATCTAGAATTTTTTCATACTTTTTAATCACACATTTTTCAAAATTCACTATTACAAAGTGCATTATATACAAAAAAGGGACTCAAACACATGCCTAATTTGTACCATCAGTCACCAATGCATTGTCTTAATAGCATGTTGGCCTAAACCTTTTAAAAGGAACAAATTGGTCCTCAACATTTCATCACTGTCTCACCATCAATCTCCAACAATGAAATGAGATTAAAAATAGTCACACGATTTAAAACTCTAACTTCATAAAACAAGATTTTGCTTTTCAATTTGGACTATGGCAGCTAGAAACTAGAAGTGAACCCTGAGTTGAGGTAAGGTGAGGCGAGGCGAGGCTAGGCTCAAGAGGCTGCCACATCAAGACCATATTCTTTGGAGGACTTTTCTTTTCCTTTTTGGAATATAATAAAGAAAAAAAAATGGATTCATAGAATTTAAAATGTTAGTTAAGTGAAAATAAAGTAGCTTTGGTGTAATAGTAATAGTTGTAAAATTAGTATGTAAATGTCTAGGTTTGACTACAACCCTAATTGTATTATTTTTATTTTTTAGTCTCTAATCTCTAGGCCCTCTAGCAAATTCCTTCCCAATCTTCAAAATCATACTTTTCGATCCCCATTCAACCATAATTGTGCTATTTTTATTTTTTAGTCTCTAATCTCTAGGCCCTCTAGCAAATTCCTTCCCAATCTTCAAAATCATACTTTTCGATCCCCATTCTTTAGTTCTATTTATTTGTCATTTTAACATAATTCGGTAGATTTTAATTTCCTTGTACGAGTTAAGAATCTAAAGTTAGCAAACACCACCTAAATGAATAATCAGATTATCACTCTAAATTCACATCCCCTGCTTTCGAATCTGTTTGTTGAGTAGAACATTCAGATTCCTCGTTGACTGTCAATAATCCAAGCCAAGTTTTTGAATTTGATAGTTCAGAATATTAAGTAGAACTTTGAAGGAGTTAGAAACTGATTACATGGAAAGATGACAAGAGCATACGATAATTGGTAGAGACTACTCGAAGCGATGCTGAAGTAAGAAGAGCTCCGGCATGTTGCTTGTGAAGAATCGATGTCCAGCTCCACGACTTCAGACTTCTTTGGGAATTTCCATTTGAAAGAAGTCTCTTCATTCAAGAATATGGGAATTTCGTTTAGTTACAAACAGATTATCTAGATGATGGGTACTTTAGTGATGCAAACTTAATCAAGCACGGTCAATGTGGCAATATCTTCTAGGGAGCTTTGGAAGAACTAATTTTTGTTAAAAATAGCAATGGAATTCGAGATTTGACTTGTGTTGTTGTCAAAAGTTTTATTGATTGGGATGCTTGTTTGGTAGAGTTGGATTTCTCTAGCAAGATTTCTAATTGAAGAGTTGTTCCTCGTTTGGGACATTGTTTGGATGAAGCATTGGAAAATAAAATGGATCGAGGTAATATATATGACATGATATGACGTATATGATTGAAAGCAAACAACAAGATAAAAGACAAAGATTAACTGGCAGAAGAACGGAGAATTTTGTTTGTTTCAATAATAAATCAGCTTATAAAAAAAGCCAACTATATATAGGGGACATATTAAAATTTCGACAATATTTTTAAAGATGGAAATAGTATAAAAGATACGTGGAATAAAGGAAACAATATTTTTCCAAAAAAATCCAACCTATTTTGGATTAAAAAAAAAAAAAAAACATGAATAGGACAAAAAGTTTCTGGTCTACATACACATACTTTGAAGAAATAAGAAAAAATATTTAGCTCATCTCTAGATCTACAGTAGGATCTAAAGCTTAGAAATAGACGACTGATTTTTAGGAATTTATTTCAACTCCATTCTTTATCTTGGAATGTTATTATCTATGTAACTATGTTCAAATTTCCCAGGTACGGGTAATAAGACTTGCACAGACGATGTTTGTTGCTTTGGGAAGGTTTTGCTAGAGCTGGTAATAGGCAAATTGGGAAAAGTGCCTCCAGTGATGCCAATCTTGAATGGTTGCAAAGCGCACTCCTTTAGATCAATATATAATATAAAGAACCGGAAATAAACATTGCATTTATTACATACTAGTCGCTAAAATTAAAGTTCATTTAAAGAAAATAACGCCATTTACACTAAACTAACCAAAATATTGAAATGACATTCTCAAGCCTTAAAACTAAACTTAGCATCATGGCATTAACTAACACCTTCGAACAAAATTAGGAGCAGCAAATAAATTGAAGATCTACTACATTTCTTTAAAAGTCAAAAATCATGCACGAAAAGAACGCAACAAATGTACTACACCAACTACACAATCGAATAAGGATTGTCTCATCCATAAGTGTAATTAACATTTAATAATGAACAATTTAAAAGAAAAAATATAATACATTTTCCTGGATTTATAATAAATTGCAACAAGCATCTGCATTGTATTGATAGATGATTAAGACGTGTATAATTCAATTAAGATTTCATTTAAAGTCATGGCTTTCCACTTTTCTGCTTTTCCTAGCAATCCACAGTCGGTTCTACAAAGTGACTGTAATTGTTATGCCTAGGTCCAATCAAATTTGGATTTAAACACTTTTAATATATAATTAATGTATGTCATTAATAGCAAATTTTTTATTTAATTCAATTAATATTCTAATAAATTAAATAATAGAATCCATAGATTCAAATCTTGAAAATTTGTTAATTACAAGGAATTTTGATTGTGAGATACAAAATATGTATAATTGTATCTTAAAACATTCGTGGTCATAAGTAATAATGAGACACGGATATCATTATTACAGATAAACCATCACGTGTGACATTTCTTACTTGTAAAGTAAGTAGCCGATCTCACAAGTTAAAGTGTAATGACACTTAAATGAACAGTTCGATATTTTGTTATAAAACAAAAATATTGGAGATCCACTGGGGAGATTCAACATGGATAACAATTTGAATATTAGTAGTTAATCTCTAACACTAGATAGTTGAATTGGTCATTTGACTTGATGTCATCATAGTGATGTACATGAGGCAGTCATACTTTGGTGATATTGAATGTTGTTCTGTCAAGAGTCGCTAATACGACATGATTCGGGTATGCGAATAATCATATGATGATTTAAATGATCAATAGAAGATTCATCACTCTTAGATAGTAAGAAATTATTATCTATATTTCATTCAATTAAATTGATAACAAAAACATTGGCCAATGTATACTCATAAGTCGAAAATGAGTCTTTGATTTACATTGACTTAATAGTGAGATGATAGATATGATCGATAATTGAGATTGACACACATATCCATACCTCGTAATTGATCGAATTATATTGACGAAAGGTTTATAGTTTCACGGTAAACTAATAAGTTTGATTATGTCATACCACGTGACTTTTTTTGTTAAAAATGTTAAAAATGGGTATTTTAGTTTATCGATTTTGATGAGATTAAAATTAAGGAATTATTATGATTAATGATTGTAACATACCAAGAAAGGTCTAGATCCTGGTTGGTCATTGTTCCATTGTGACTAAGATAGGATCAGTAGTGACCCAACTAAAAAAATGTGAAAACATTAATTGAATATAATCAAAACATTAATTGAAATTAAAATGTGGAAGTCCACCTTTGATTTAAGTTTATGGAAATACAGGTACATGTACAATAACAATGCATGGTGTGGTTATAGAGTTAGCAATCTATGAAAATCTGAAATTAAAGGGAGTGGCATTCGCATGGACTTCATTCCTTATACATGTATTTGTTAATTAATAACTAAAAAAGGGCATTTTAAATCAAATGAAGAAAGGTTATTGTAGAATGCAATTTATAGTTTTATAACTCGGTTTTATCTTAAATTTGTAATTATTTCCGTTCATCGCCCAGCGCCCTTGTGATGCTCGTCTGGTCAAGCTTACATTAAACATTATTCCATTTTTATTTTTTATTTTTTTTGGTTTTTTCCCTTCATGTGTAATTTATTCTTTGTTCAGATATTTATAGATAAATCCATACTCAATTCCATTATAAATTGTGGCATCTCAAGAAGAGGCTTTTGACATGACGTAAGAGTTATTTTCAAATTAAGTAACGTTTTTTACTCATAAGTAAGAAGAAGTAAGTAATCCAAACTTTTTTTTTTTAAACTTATCCAAACAAGTTGTATCCAATATATGTTGAGCATCACCCGCCCGAACTCTCCCTAAAATTCTCTTCGTATTAAGAAAAAGAATGCTTTGACTGAGTGCAGTTTGTCACGAAGGCACTAAGTGTAAGTTTAGCGAGGAGGAGTGTTGGAACACTTCGTTCTAGCCCTTCATTAATGTTCAAATATATCCTTTTGCTCATTGTTTTTCACCCCAACATCTTGTTTCGTCCTTCTTCAGCAATTAAAATTCTCCTTAAATTTTCTATCAGAATTGAGTATGCATGTAGGCGGTGCCCGCCGCACCGATTGTCCTTGAACAGATTATATATGTATATAAATTTGGATTTTACTTCAAATAAAGAAAGACAAATTTAATATTTCATTGAATTTGAAACGGCATAGAGTGAGCGGTGAAAATAATAAATAAAAAATATGTTAGACGATAATAACATTGAAATCTACGTACACATTGACAATTTATAGTAACTCCTTTAAGTATTAGGATAATTTTTGTTAGTTACACCACATTTTAATTGCAATGATGGTCCATTTTGTTATGTCCTCAATTAATTCACCTCATTTTTGTTCGAAATCTTCTAAATTTTAGCACATCTTGTCTTGGATAATAGTTTTTGTCCAAAAACTCTATTAAAAGGTGTAAAAAGACTTATTTGTCCCCCATTATATTTTTATAAAAGCCAAAAAAAAAAGAGCAATAAATACAAAAAAATATGTCACTCATTTCAAAATTTTCTAACAGAATATTTGAACGGAAGTCGTTATTAGATAATAATATGAATGCGACGAAAAAAGTTCAGGATAGAAATACACAAATTAATAAAGATTCTGAATTTTCATTACAATTAAAATATAACGTAGCTAACAAAACATGGATATAATTATGACAATCAAATTATTTTGATTCAAAACAGAGCACCTTAAATGTAATGGATTGACAATCTTACTGAGATAGTTCCATTGAGACTAGGTCAGTTGTCGAGCCTTTACGTGCTTCATCTTTCACGTAATTTTCTTTATGGTTAAATTCCCGAGTCTTTTTCCTCACTGGGGAACCTTTCTTTACTTGACATGTCTTTGAATTTCTTGTCTGCGGCAGTTCCTCTGGGCATTGAGACTTTTTTCTAGGCTGCAGTTCTTGAATCTTTCATGGAACAGTTTTTCTTCTTCAATACCTGCCCAATTTGGTATCTTTCTAGCCTGGTTGAGCTTGATCTCGGATTTAGTTCGCTATCTGGC